AAGGCCACGGCAGGAATAAATAATCATTTGGCCAGGTTAGGATTCCAGTGGTGTATCTTACGTGTGTTAGTTGCACTAGTGCTATCATTCGCCACCATTAATATCCAATTTCGTATGAAGCAAGAAACCTTGTTTAGCAGGAATATAATATGGTGTGATAACAGCAGGACACCATCCTGCTCACATAATTACCCAAATGCAATGCTGGGAGGGATCAGATCCGCGGCTGGGCAGGGGGCATCAGCGATAAGCGCCCGGTGCGCTCCCACACACTGGTAATTACTTTATTGATAATTTGCAGGGAAAATTGCCTGAGCCAATCGTTGCTGCTAGATTTAATGGATTGGAGGGGGGGGGGGGGCGGGAAATAAAAAAAGGATCTTTCAAAAGAATTTAAAATATTTTTAGGCCATAGGGGAAGGCTTTTCCTCCAGCGATAATAGCTGAAAGTCATGTAAAATAGCCCACTCTTGGCATGATGCTGCTGGACGCATGTGTGCTTGTGGCAGGGGATGTTTATCTGGCCATCCTGCATTAACACATTTACCCCCTCGCCTTAAATGAGGTCATAATTCTCTAAGGGTAAGGCCTTGGTAATGAAATTGACATTTAGCAGCCGCACCACAGTCTATTAACTACAATAAATTTAATTTGCAACAGGCCCAGAAGTGAGCTGGGCTGCAGAAAGAGAGAAAGAGATGAAAAAAACCCCCAGCAAACCGACGGCCCTGGTGTTTATTACATGCGCTGGCCACAAGTACATTTGGCTAAAATAAGACCTCTCGTGTTCTCTCGTGTAACTATAACTGCTTTTGCTCTGCCTGCTAAACGATCAGATTAAACAACATAAGAAATAGAAGTACAGCAGATTTAGTGTTTTTCAAATAAGGATCTGCTTCTAGACCCTATCTGTAATGTCCAGAACATTGTTAAAGCTGAAACGAGGTTGCCTACATCGCTCATAAAAAGACTTTGGCAGTTCCCAATTCAAATTGTAATATTTAGTAGGACTTTCTTCTGTGGATCGATCACCAGCCAACCAACCAATCAACCAATCAAAAATGTAATTGACTCCGTGGCAAGGAATTGTACTGCCATCATTTCCACCACACTAAACAATATTGTCCTTCATGTATTTGATCAAAAGCTAGTGTACTTGATTACCAAGGAGACAGTGAAGAGCATGCTGGAGATCAAATATGAGACATGATGACAGAATGTTTCTTGAGCAGTAGATCGTCATATTAGAGTGATTTCTAAAGGATCATGTGACACTGAAGACAATTATTTTAAATTGTAATAATATTTCACACAATTACTGTTTTTACTGTATTTTGGATCAAATAAATGCAGTAAGCATAAGAGACTTTTTAAAAAAACATTTATTTTTCTGTTTTTAACATATTATATTTGTCATTATTAATGTTGGGAAACATTAGTGTGCTAGTGTAGGTTTATTGTGGATTATACAACATTTGACGCGAGTTTAGGATCATGTGACTTGAATCTTTGAGTGGGGATGTGATTTTGTGATCAGCTTTGTATGTTTTAATTGTGACTCCTGGATTGTCTAAGACCAATGGAGAACTTCAACAGTCCTGTCGTCATTAGTCTGTCGAGTAACCTGGGTAAAATATGTTGTGAATATAGCAGTTTACTTGTTTTCATCATATGATATTCATATGATTTTATAATCAGGTGACTGGGTACACTGTAAAAAAAACCCCGTTACATTTACAGGAAAACCCTGGCAGCTGTGGTTAAAAATACGGTAGCAACGTTTTAGGTTTTACAACTTTTAACCGTATATAATTTTACAGCGATAAACCGTATTTCATTATCTGATATAATGTTAATATACTGACCTTTTGGAAGTATTAATATCTGTTTTTTTCCATTGTAATACACTGACAGCCAACAATCACAGCAGTGATGAGAGTCAAATGGTCAACCAAAGCTCATCATAAGCAGCTCATCCACAAGAGAGTTAATACTAATATACAGAAGCTGCACAGTGTCATTCACACAAACATTAAACACCATCATGGTAACATGTTGAAATTTAAAAAATGCAATAAGCATTAATTTAACAACATTAAATGTAACATAAAACCCTAATGTACATAACTGATTAGAAAAAAACTAAGAAAATTATGAAGAAACAGTGATTTAAAAACAAAATACATCAAATGTGAAGTGTCACGCAGGGAATTGTGGGAATATCAATTTACATTTTTTCACTGTAAATTATACAATGTTCTTTTTCACTTCCAAAAACTGTAAATTTAACGGTATTTTACAGTAAAATTAAATTAAATGTACCATTATATATATCACAGTTATTTACCGTTATTTATAGTAAGGAAACTTTCTGTTAACCAATTAACAGTTTTTCACTGTAGCATTTTTACAGTGTTTTACCGTTAAAATCACGATCATTTTTTACAGTGTATGGTTCAACTGACTCTGATTTGGCTTTTGACTTTTGACCTAGTCGTGTGACTTCATGATCCAGTTTTGAGAAAGGGCTCTTCTGACCAAATATTTAACATCTTCAGTATTAAAACAAAATCATATTTTCATGTCTCACACAGTGATATGTACTGTATATGTACGTTTTTATGTTAGTGTTTCAGGTTTTATTATTCTTTTGTCTAGCTGTGAAAATAGCGTAAGTCATTTCAGGAGTTCTTACATAAATGTAAAAAAAAAAAAAAGTACAGAGCTAATAAACAATGCATTATAAATTACATAGTGGTAGGAATTCTCTTTGGGCATTTCTAGTGGACAAATTAGCTAGTGAAATGTGTGTTGTAGGAGATTTTTTCGACAAATATTTCTACAGTAAAAGTACACAAATTGGTTGTTGACAATAGAATCCGCTCAGTTCACTTTCCACCATGTCCCACACTCTGTGTTTCTGTATCGGTGTGTTTGCGTGAGCATGTCTGTATGTCACAGTGTGGATGTATGGCTCTGGAGTCAGTTGCTCTGGTAAGTAAAATCCTTTAAATCTCCGGGCATTCTCTGGCCTGTCCGTAAGGATCAATACAGCATGTGTACACTGAGGTCCTCCCTAATGGCCACTTCATACAGCCAATAGGGATTTGCACGAGCACTACTAAGTGACACCAATGATCGATCATAAAAACTGAACGTCATGATTGTGTGCCGTGAATTTTTACTGAATTATAAATTAACAGCTTTACACGTGTGTCAAAAAGGGGCCTGTTTTTCTTTATTTTGTTATTAATTATAACAATATTTTCAGTATGGTGTGCAGAATGGTTCAAAAAATGGCCCATTTGTTCTCGACACCAATACTGGCTACTGAAAGAGGGCACTAGTTTCAGAACACAAAAACCATGTTAAAAAACTAATAAGGCGGGAAACCTTTAAAGTGACAGGTCAGCTAAAAATGAAAATTGTCATCATTTACTCACCCTCATGTCCTTCCAAACGTGCATGACTATCTTTCTTCTGTGAAAGACAAAAGAAGATATTTTGAGAAATGTCTCAGAAGAACACTTGAGAAGTGTTCATTTAATCTAAGTCAGTGGTCACCATTGCTGTTTGGTTACCAATGTTCTTCAAAACATCATCTTTTCCCACATCATTGTAGCTGGACCTTCTTTTCTTCACTTTTGGATGTGACCGAGACAAAAGGTCAAATCACACAACCCCCCAAATATCTGGCCAAATCTAAGTCGACCGCTCAAAATATAAACAGATGACTTAAGACGTTATGTTGTGAATCAAAGGAGTGCAAAATCACAGTTTTGAAATTTTTATTATTTTTTCAAAAAAAAAAAAAACAAGGTCTTATAAACTTAATTAAAAAATGCATGCATACATTTTTTTTTTTGTAATGTTATTTTTGTATCAAGGTCTTTAATAATGAATATGCGAGACGCTGAAAGGTTCCCACCATGTATAGATGACTTCAAGTTTTACTCTTCTTGTGAAGACATTGTTCACGGCAGTATAAGTTAAATCTGTACACACACACACAAACCTTGATTTCGTTGTCAAAAGAATCTTTGTCCACAGGGACAACAGATGAATGAACATTGTTTTAATTAATGTTGAATGGTTTCTGTGAGGGTTAGGATAGTCAGAGCATAGAAAATATCATTAGCTCAGTATAAAACCAGTAAAAGTCAACAGAAAGACGTACGAAGATATAAAAATAAGCGTGTGTGTGACTATAGTGTTTGCCCACGTATTAGTGTACCTGAGGTGAAGGCATGCACCCCTCACGTCTGAGAAAAATAGACATCAGTGCAAAGCTCTTTATCACTTTAACACACAGTTTACACAGAGTTTACACTGCAACGTGTCACATCAGAACTGCAGTACTTCGCTTACAGGATCTGTCCCAATAAACCTCACTTGGGGTCTTTGTACTTGTTTGTGAATTTGGATCTACGCTCGACTTTTGCACATTTAATTCGATTTTTTGGACTTTTTGGCTTTTTTCATGACAGTCAAATGTAGACAGGGAAGTCTGGGTGAGAGATGATTGGGACATGCGCTGAACTTAAATGCAGAGTACACCACACAGACACACACACACACTTGATGACTTAACAGTTTTAATTTTTGAATGCGGCAGCGTTTTTGTCGTTCTTCTCAGTTTGCGCAAAACCATATTAATATTACGCGCTTAAATGAACTATTTGAAATGTCATGTTTTTAACTGTATCAGTAACATTTTGAGATATCAATGGCACAGACACCAGGTCACTGATGAGCCATAGACAGTAGGAGATGTTCAATGCAAAATGGATTTTGTTTCTGCAACTTTCATGCAACGTCCATGTTGAGAGGTTTAATCAATCTTGATCAATGCCACAATGGTGGCGTAATCTTTTGGCCGGTCCAGCCTGGATGTTTAACAACTAAGATAACCACTACTTGGGGCTGGTTCTGCTTTTTTTATTTATTTGACATGCTTTTCCAGTTTATATGTATATTTTTGGTGTGCGTGTTTCTGGAAGGTCTCGTTCCCGTCACCGAAAGTCTCGCAGTGGCAGCAGTGGCCGGTCCAGCCGGAAGCGTAGTCGCAGCAGAGAACGAGATCATGGCCAGCGCAGGACCCGAGACAAAGACAGGACACGAGACAGAACTAAAGACAAAGAGGCCGACAGAGCCAAAGACAAGGACAAACAAAGGTAATACTTTCTTTTTGAGCCATTTCAATTTCCAAGCTCTCTCTTTGTTTTTCTCTAGCACTTACACACACACTCCCAAACTGTTCCAACCCATCAGTATATCCATCTCATGTCTAAGCCAAATCTTATAGCTCAGATTCAGCTGAGAGTTGAGCTCAATCGTGTGGTAGGCCTCATCCATCCAGCCTGATATCTGCCCTTCAAACTCGGTGTATACACCGTCCCGCTGGGCGTCTAATGCATTTCCTTCTCTCTCACTGTCTTGATTTATACCCCAGTGTAATATGCGTGAGCAAGAGCTAACTGCATTTCCATCTCCGCTCTCCTGTTTGCCCCTCTCAAGCTCCACCTTTACTCTAGAGAGACATTTTACTCCAAGACACAGTGTTCTCCTTTCCAGTTCCAATGACAACAGTCAGCAAGACTGAACATATTGCGTGAACCTATTTACAACACGGAAACACCAGTAATTATAGACATATGCAAAATCTATTCAAGATGTTGTGATTTCTGACATTCTGATGTTTGGATGGTTCGAGAAACATTTCCAAACAAAGGTATACATCTTAGTAAATGACAGCAGTAATTATTACAAGGATCATTAGGTGTGATATGTTGTGGGGCCACTTCCCTCGCGAAGCCCCTGGCCATGAAAACCGATTGGCTATGAAGTAACCCACTAAAGAAAACCTAGTCTGGAGAGAAATTGTGGATTAGTGATTAGAGACAGGTCTTGTTTCCTCAAGGACACATAGCACCACGTCTAGGGCCTGTTAACCATTCCAAAAAGTGAAACAAATGTAAATGGATAAACTTATTAACATTTAACTAGGGGTGGGCTATATAATTATAGACACAATAAACCAGTAGAAATTTGACAACTGGCACAAAAATGGTCTCGGTTACGCTTGTGATGTCACAATGCCTGCCATCACGAAAGTTTATCATTTGCATGCATTTTTAAGCTTTGCCAGTTTAAACATCCCACAATTTAAAACCAATCGAGTTTAATAAGCTGTGATAGAGAACTCGTTTTGTGCTCATACACCAGAGTTTTTTATCGCAGCTTATCGTGGTTAAACAGTCAATTACACAGGGAATAATGTCAAAATACCTGTCTTGGGGAGTGTTCACGTAAACACAGATGGTAATGGCGTAAGTTAATGAAACAGCTGGGGGAAACTGATGTGTGTTTGCAGTGGGCTGTTTACATCAATCTCACGTCATAAAAGCATCCTGAGGTGCAAGTACATTCTCAGACTCAGCCGGACGCACATCTGCGGGAAAATATCTATTTCAAAAATATTGGAATCGAGATGCATCGATTTATTGTCCCAGCTCAAATATATATATATTAAAATTATGAGTACAACTACTCTTTCTTTCTTTCTTTGAATGATATCTTAACTGTTACTTCATTGTTAATAAACTCAAGTCTGTTATTTTTTTATAGTCACGAACATTTACAGTGGACAAATGTACGTAAACACTGTAACTTGAGGAGCTTTTTCACCTGTGGTGAGTTTGGGGTGTGCGATATTGACAAAAAATGATATCTCGATATTTTCTGGGATTTTCTCGATAACGATTATTAGACCATATTTTGGCGAGTGTGTTTATTGTGTTGGTACTTTGGCAGGATTAGGACTGTCGTGGACAGCCGACTCCTAAAGTGTTTGATATTCTTCATGCTCTGTGTGGTGTGGGTTCACAGCAGTGACAGATTTTTTCCCCCCAATTTGTTTCAATTAATTTTGACCTAATATGGGCATTTTTACCTTTATAAAGCCATTATTTAAACATAATTATATGCATGCATCATCTTTTGTGTCAGTTTCATAAATTTAATCAAATTAAATGATAAAAATAAGACACAATAGGGCTGTTACCTATCAAATGAAATCAGTATCAACAAAATTCATCTTTGCAATATTGAATATTGATATTTACATTTTTTAAAACCAAGAAAAGATGCTTTAAATGTGGGATTGAAACCGCCAGTAGGTGCACGTCACTGTTAATGAGCGAATCATCGAGATTCAACCGATTCATTCAAACGGCTGATTCATTCAAGGAAAGAAGCATTTGACTATCTTAATCTATCCTATTCAACTGATTCATCAAAAGGCTGATTCACTCAGTAAGGAAACACCGCCGTGTGTGGCTTTGCTTTGAACTATTTTCGTTGGCGAAATGGTGTCTAAAATGTAAGTCACTTAATATTAACTTCTTGTTTATTAATCAATTTCCCATTTGTTATCATGCTGATATTTGGAGAAAAACTGCACTCTTGTGATATTTATTACTAAATGATAACTCAAAGAACTAGTGATGAATCGGTGTAAACAGTAAACACACATTTCGATCCCCAGACACTTGCTTGTATGCTTTGTTAGTCTGTGCGTGTGTTCTATATTTTGTTTCTCTGCAGCTTATATGTCCTAGGGGAGTCAATACATGTAATTGTGGCTGTAATTAGGGGATGTGGCTGGGATGACATTAACATAATGGAGGGACAAACACAAATGAGCAAACACAGGGGCCGTTATCTTAAACACTTCAGACCCTTGGGACCCCCTGCCTTAATCTGAGCTACAATCTCCAATAACTCCATTCACTCTAATATGTTTGTTCACTTACACATCGGTCTTCACTTTCACAACTATCTTTACTTATTAGCAGTTTTTATTGAATGTTTAAAATCAAAGTTGGTCTACTGTAATTTTGATTTAATGACATTTGGAGTTAACATACACTCTAAAAAAATGCTGGGTTGGTTTAACCCAATTTTGGGTCAAATATGGACAAACCCAAACGTGTGGTTAAAAATTTAATTAAAAAATGTAACCCAAAAGCTGGGATTGTCCATATTTGACCCAAATTTGGGTTAAAACAACCCAGCATTTTTTAGAGTGTAGATTTGATGGTCTACAACGGGGATTTTCTACTCTGGCCCTCGAGGTCCACTTTCCTGCCAAGTTTAGCTCCAACCTTGATCAATCTCACTTGCCTGTAACTTTCTAGTAATGCTGGAGACCTTGACTAGCTTGTGTTTGATTAGGGTTGGAGCTAAACTCTTCAGGAAAGTGGATCCCGAGGGCCAGACTTCCCTGGTCTGGAACGTAGATAGGATTGTGTAGAACCAGTTGGTTTTCTATATTGCAAGCATTATGCAACCTGAAGCAGCCGGCAACTGTGAGCCAGTGACGTGAGCTAAAGAGGTGTAACCTGCAATCTCTAGCAAACCAAAGACCATGAGATCACAGGTATGGACACGCACAAGGTCAGGGTGACGTAAGGGGGTGCTTTGGGCCAATCATACATTTATACACTGTTTACAGTAAGGCTGTTTTTGTGTTGCACTGCTTTTTAATTGTTTTTCAATGTAAACATGCTAGATAGATGTCATTGAACATTATGCCGCTTCTTGCTGCTTTTTCAGTGCATAATGCATGTTTTGTTTATAGATAGACAGACTGACAAAAGCCCTATTCGGACGGTATTAGTTTTAAATGAGGAGGTAGGCTATTGTACTAATTTCCCAAGCTTCATTAGAATTTGAATCCCATCCTAGTTGACTATCTTAATAATTGTTCCAGACTTTTTCCTGGACTGCACGTTCATGTTCCAGTAAAAAGTACAGTGTATTTTACCTTCTATAAAAATTCGATTCATTGCTACCAATGAAATAAACACATTTCAGGCCACTAGATATAAATATATCTTATACACAATTTCAGCAGTTTGACCATAAATACAATGATACCACCACCACCAAAAGTAATGAATTGTGTCTCCTTTACTATAAAACAAAAGCTTTTTGCGACTGCTTCACTAATGTAACACACACTCATTGCGACCCATTTTACAGATGCATAAAGTTAACCTGAACAGTAACTGGTGACAAACAATAACCATACCGTGAAATAGCAGTATGCAGAGCTGCATTCATCGTGACGCGGGACATTTGTGTGTCAAATGTGCCAATAAAAATGTGACTTTGAGAAACAGACTGTCCTTAAGTAAATGGTTGCTTTAGTAGTCTATTCTTTTCTATTTCAGCATTAAAATCTATTTTCGTTCATCTTGAGTGAGGCTGGATATAAAAATATATCAAACTACTCGTTTTGGCGATTATTCATTTAAACGGTTTTGTCTGAAGTGAAAGTAAACGGTGGGAGTAAATCATATATGGATCCGTGCATTGGTTCTTAAAGTGACAGTAGCCTAAACCTGCAGTCCTTAATGTTCATCCAAACTACAAAAGATAAAAAGAAAATCATTGCTCTTGGAGTAACTTTAAAAACTTTTCTAAAGCGTTTATACAAGGAAAACTATTCACTGTTATTTTACATTTTGATTACTTTTTTCAATTTCTCTAGGTAGTACTTCTTACCTGAGTACTACTTTTAGACATAAATCACTGTTTATTTCATTTGTACCTTTGTTCTATTGTATTTATTCGTTTCTTATTTATTTGTTCTGATTTACTGTTAGATTTTTATCTATTGTAGATTGTCGACTAAAAGCTTATGATATTTAATTGACTAAAACTAGGCTAAAACACTGAAGCTCAGTGTTAGTGAGGCCTGTGGTCCTGTGTCTCTGTTTTTGTCTATTATTCTCCTCATTTGGAAGCTGCTTTGGATAAAAGTGTCTGCTAAATGATCAAATGAAATGATTAATGACTCGAGTATTGTGGCTCATATGGTTTCTGGTGTCCGTGCAGTGTTCGAGCAGAAGAGGGGAGTATAGTTGCACTGCACATGTGTAACAACACAGTAGTTGTCTTGACAAGCGGTTGTTGGGTAGTCAGGATGGTTGCTGCGCTGCCAGGCAGTTCTGGACAGTTGCCCAGGGTGTTGCTATGTGGTTTCTGTGGTGTTCTAGGTGGTTGCTAGGACGTTTCTTAGCAGCTGCTAAACACACACACATTGAAAGCTGAAGAGGCCAGTTGTGCGGTCTACAGGAGAGCAGAGTGTGTCTGTCGGCTGATGGAA